ACTCAAAAACGTGGCCAAGTTACGCCTAGACGCTGCCGACAAAAATGAAGCAGCAAACGACGGTAAAGATAAAGCAATCGCCGACGCGTCTGTTTTTGTAAGCGTCGCGACGCTTACAAATACAGATACGCAATTTCTTTGGACGTACCCATGTTGACAGATCACGGACCTTTCTATCCATCGGGTCTCAAAGAACCTTTAACGTACCAACTGACGTTTAACGGACACGACAAGGAAGTCAAGTCGACCAATGCAGCCGTAGAGTACTCAATTTCGGACCTTACGCTAGAGTACGAAGTCGTAACCAATCGCGTTTTGGGTCAAGTTTTGCCGCAAAAGCACAACTATCTATCTATTCGATCGAATCCATTCGTGGAAAAAACAAGCAGTCAACAAGACAGACACACTGTGGAAGTTAAGCATTGATTAGACAATTAAAAGCTTGAAAGGGGCTTTAATTTTGTTCAAAGATCCTACCATTAAAAACCCGCAAAGATTTTACAATCCGCACGTTACGAAAACCAGCATAACCTTCGAGGGGAACCCAACCAGCTGTACTCGCAAGGTTTGTTCGAGTATCAACATTGAAACGAAATTTCCAAGTTCTTCGGCGATTCAGATACCGAGTCTGGACGTGCAGTTACAAAAGACCTAAATTTGACAGGCGTTGACATGGGTGGCTAACTGAAAGACAAATACGGGCTATGGCTCGACTTTAGAAGTTCGGGCGATAACTCGCCGCATGGGTCGGGTAGACCTCCTGGAGGAGAAGGAGGAGGAGGCATATCGATTCAAATGGAACGAGAAGCCGAGACGACGGCCGGGACACTTTACATGTACGTGTTTTTGGTAATGGATGTGCAGTTGATAAAAGTTATAAAAAAATCCGCATTATGCTTTAATTGTTGGAAAGACCGGCAGCGGAAAAATCAGTGGGTCTTGGACCTTTAGGAAAGTGAACATCGGTTCGTATTTGAAGCCATAATGATCATTTGTCCCCCATTAAGCAAAAACAAAACGCATCTAGAGAAACTCTGTATTAAAAACGACGAGAACGTGTATCTTTGCAACTTGGAAAAAGAGAGGCTTGAGCTAAACGAAGCGATTGATTTATATCAGAGGGCATTTGACGGTGTGAATACGCTATTTATTGTGGACGATTGTGCCGATTGTATATCAAGTATCGGAAGAAATCTAAAGGAGGCAACACTTGTGCGTTAAGTCGTATGGCGTTTAGCGGGAGGCACTTTATTCACATCTGTTGGCTGTTGACTCAGAAATACAACTCAACGCTCAAAGACGTATGTGAAAACACCGCAAAAAAAACACATTTGAGGGACGTGAAGTTTAGCAAGTCGGTATTAAATACGGGACCCCCTGTTAGTTGGTTATTTCTATAAAACTAGGTGATTAACAAATTTTAAGTAAGCTGTAAATAAAAATCAACAAAGAATCAACAATGTTAGAATACATTCAACTAGTTATCCAATTAGCTATGGCAATCAACTTGACTTATTACACGTATGAATACGCGCCAAGCTAGCGTTTAACAAAACTAAAGACGCTTTATACAAAATGGACACCAATATCAAATCGATTCTAAGCGCAAAAAGCGAATCTGCCCAAACCCCAGAACCCAAGCCATAACATAAAAGACCGACTTTGTTCAGTCGTGGCCTCGGGTGAGTCGAAAATATATTTTGGGAAGGAATACACCGTAAAAGATATAGAAGCACTTACCCCAGCCGAAAAAGTTAAACAACTTGTACGAAGTACGATTCGGGAAAAGAAATTGTCAAGACGCTGGGCAGCTCGATTCTAAGCCTATACGCGCGACTACTGGGAATAGCCACTCCTATCGAATTTTGGGGTTACAATGTTGACTCAAAAGTCGGAAGACGACTTGGCCAAAGACGTGAACAACGACCCTATAATTAGTCAAACGATTGGTCACCTACTTAGCGAGCATTGCTACAAGTATGGGGCTTACCTATCAACACTGGTGGCAACATTAATTCCAACAAAAGATTTGGCTGTTAATAAAATCCGCCTATTATAAAAGAAAATGTCAACAGAAGAGAAGCAATTACCAGCAGCCAGCCCAGCCAAGAGCCAAATTCAAACGGTGACAAAAATTAAAAATCCTAAACGAATAGAGCAAGGAAAACGATTGGCGGAACATAACAAGAAAATGAAAGAACAATTAGCCCGGTTAAAACTGGGTGAGTCAGAGCCAGAAACCCAAAATAAAAACTTAATTTTTGCCGGCTTGGCGACCGGTGCGTTGGCTTTGGTGTTGTTTTTTAAAAACGAAATCCTCCGTGGTAAATTAAACGGCCAAAACAACAGAGGTAAAAGCGCCGTCAGTTCAAACCGTAGCCCCCGCGCAAGAAATTTTAGATATGGAGTACTTTAAAAACCGTGTATATTAAAACATGAGTAACGCAAAATCGATAGGCGTAAACGGGATTGCCAATATGGTATATCACGGTGCCGTAGTCAGTGTCATTTTAATGGGTTATGCCATGCTCGCTAAAAAGCTACTAAAACTTAAACCTCCCGATCTCGACAAATTATCGGTAGAAGACGCTGCCAAAATGACCACTATTGCCAGTGGTTATAAACCGGTTTATTATAAAAGAAAATGGCAGAAGGTGGATTTGACCCGGAAGAGATACCCCTTTTAGCTCAAGGTGGAGAAAAAAGAAGATTTAGCATTTGAAGATGATCAAAACCTATAATGGGATAATACCATTGACACAACGCAAGACGAATCAATGTTTGTAGAAGGTCAAGGACTAGATACATTAGATTTAAGAAGGACGTTAGTTGAAGATAAAATGAATGACTAAACAATCGAGACAGTCTACAAGTCCGGTTTTTATTCTTTTTTCACGAGCGGGCATGTGTCTTTTTCGATTTTCGCAGAGGCAGATTTAGGGTTTTTTCGTTCAGTAAAGTGTACAACTCTCTTGTAAACGGTGGTAAATAATAGCCGTCCATCGTCTTTTATAAATAGTATTTATTTTTTGTTTTATCGTTAAAAACGTGGTGGGGAGGAGTTGTGCGGGTTGTGGGTTTAGGGGGTTGTGGGTACTTTTTGGAGGGGGGTGCTTTTTAGGGGGGTTATGGGTGCGTTTTAGGGGGTTGGATAGGTAGAGGGTGAGTGTTTTCACTTTTAATTTTGGGAAATGTCACTTTTTTAGTCGGGTAGTTATAGGAGGAAAATTTGGTCTATAGAATGCCAATTACAATACTACTGTATCCGTGGCACGACTGGTTCCGCTACAAGCGTACATGTGTATGAACATGGAGCCACATGACTGTGTGTGTACCGCGTACTGGGATCGATCTGTGTGCCAGGTATACTGTACCGCATTATCTCCTTTTCGTCGAGTGTTTGTGCTCCTCTCTTCATGATTTACAATAACGCCGAAACCGTGCGTAATTTGGTGGATGTACTGGAAACTCCGCGAAAGAACCGGGATTGAAATTCTTCGAGTTCGCGACGAATGAGACCGTTCTTCAAGCTCGTGCTGTCGTTCGCGGCTACGCGTGCTATGCATAACTAACGCGCGCACGCTGTGGTATTTCCTCTCCACGGTAATACATCCGATCACGAGAATCAATATTAATTTTATTACATGCTAATGGCCGCGATAACACGTCCATTTTTACAATACCAGACTGGACTCGCAGGGAAAATGACTACAAAAACTGACTACAAAATGACTACAAAAACAGGTATTCCAAGGAAGATATTAGTACAGTATGCGCCACTTTTATTATTAGATTTGGCTCTTCTGTGTAGGATTCACTATGAGAAAAGTCAGCATCGTTGGAGTTGGTCTTCAATAGTTCATGGACTTACCAACGACCCAGGGGTTAAGCAACGATTTGGTGTAGCGAAATGCGGGTAGAATGTTGACTATGAGTTTCAATAAGAAAAAATAAGTTACTTTAAATGGTGATTTTTTTCAAAGTCAACCCCATCATTTAGCAGAATTGGAGAGGAGAGAATCAGACATTGTTTATAATTATGTCCCTGAGTCTACCCCGTAGCTACTGCATTATGAATGGCGGCATATTATTTCACTAGACCCGACCAATGATACGTTTTAGGGATTGAAGTGGTGTCGCCTTTAGACAAGGGCCAGACAAGTGAAGTGCCTTATGATTACTGGAATCATGTTGCTTGTTTGACTCCGTCGTACATGACCCTGGCGTCTGCAGTGTCAGCGGCAACCTGTTTGCCGGAGGAGAGTTCCAGCCAGTATATGGTTGGAGCTGTTTTTATTTACTTCACCGCTGTATTCAACCGTCTGGCATATCGTGGCTTACACCTCAGGCCAAAATTCCTCGATTTCTGGTCAGGGGCTGGAGTCCAAAAGTGGTGCGGCGACGCGGTTTTTTTCCCTCACTTGCTTTCCCTAGAAATAATGTACGTATAACACGCGATGCCCTTCGTGCATTGCGTACCGCCGCTACCAACACTGAAAAAGACTGGCCCAAGTTTTATTTTGGTTTATCTTTTTTTTGCGTGTGTTTTTAATTTGGTCATTTGAGTTACTTTTTCAGAATGGGGACGCATAGACGTTCCTGAGATAGCTCTGTTATTGGTTTATTTTGCTTTTTTGTTTCGTTTATTTTGTTCACATCTGTGCCAAATAAATTTACCACATACTGTGGCATAAATACACCCTCACAAAACAGGATGGAAATAAAACATTAAACTTCCCGAATAAGAATTTTACATGTATGGATTGAAAAAAGTCTCTTACGTTTAGCATACTTGCACTCTTGGTAGATGAAAAGACTCATTGATACATTCAGGGAGAACCAATTGGCATGTGCTTTAAATATAAAAAATAATGATCAGAATTGAGGTATTCATCAATGGATTCTCTTAATGAAATGATCCCTATTTCAGAAACATTATGCCACAAGTATCTTTTTCTTGACCTTTAAACTTTTAAAACTTTCTGTAATTTGTTTGGTAGGTTCTACTTGTGATGGTGAACTACTCATGTAAGTACCAAAATTGCTACAGTGCTATTATGAATGTTTATAATTTATTTTCATGTTCTTGACATGTTTAGCCAAGAATTTAGTACTTATTCCTACTGCACCAGCTTGACTCTTCAGACATTTAGGTTCCTTGGATTTACTGAGGTGTGCCATATTTTAATTCNGCGTTAAATCGTATAGCGACAACAATATCTTAGTCTAAGTACCATAAAAACTAAAACAAAAACAGATGTTTTAAGACTCGTTTGGGGGTTTAGTGACTACGTTGCCGGTAAAACTAAACAAGTAACACGAGAAAAAAAACTAGTAAACTTTCACAAATTCGCTCTGAAAACATCGAGATGCTAGAAGCTCCTAGTGAAGCCAATCGAGTCAGTGACATCGTTGACGAGCTCACTCACGATGGAGAATCGCAAACCGAAGGGTTAAACTTCCGACAGTTAGTCACACTGGACCAATCGTTACAGACGGTCAAAGGAGAGCTCGTGTTAAACCGGGACAAGTTGGATGAGTTGGACGCAAAGATTCAACAAGTCAAAAACGAATTAAAGGAAGCGGCGTATGGGAAGGAGAACGTGCAGAAATTCAACAACAGTTGGACGATCTAGAAGTGGAAAGGCGGGGTACGTTAGAAATTATTAATAGAAACACCGATCAGATTCGTACCCAGATCAATCACATCAAAGAAACGATCACCGTGATACTGGACGGCGATTTGACATTACGCGAGAAAATTAGACCGTTGTTTAAAGAACAGGGTGTGACAATTGTCAGAAATTCTGAATTCCAGAATGGCACTGTAAGTTCAAATGTTTCTATAATACTGGTATCAATATCTTGTCTATCAGGTCTCGTATTTGCTGGGCTTGGTGGTGGTGATGGATCGGGTATTTCTCACTCTTCACGCCTGCGTCCTTCGGGTCTCCTTCCAGCAGGACTTCCTTCGACTTGAGTTTTTCATTCGATTTCGGTGGATTTTGTAATGTTGAAATATCCAGGATGAAAGCTTACTTTTTTGACTTGTACGGCCTTGTCACCTTTCAAATTATCGATGGTATTTTCTAATTCAATCGTCTGCTCGCTTTTGGTGAAATAAAAATAATGCGTTTCCATTTATAATAAACAATTTTAAATAAGACCTCCTTCTTCTTCGTAAAGTATATATTTCAAAACGACGCCACTCCAGTGTTTATTAGAAACTTTAAATAGGTCTTTTACTTTGTCTGCTGGTTCTTTCGTAATGTCTTGATAACAGACGGTAATAAGAGCGCGAAGTGGTTTGCTTCTAGAGGTCTTGCCTCCTAAAATTTGGTTTAGTTTGTACTCTATGCCGCCCGCTAGATCTTCCGCCAATTGAATGTATAGTTGTTTAATTATTTCCTTTGTTTTAGATTTGGGCTTTTTATAATCAAAACACTGATTGCATTTGCCACCTACGTTTTCTACTTCAAAGTTGGTATAAGGCTGTAGTCTTCTAAAACAATCGAAGAAGTCTACAAGTCCGTTTTATAATTTTTTTTCACGTGCCGGCATGTGTCTTTTTCGATTTTCGCATATGCTGATTTAGCGTTTTTTCGTGCAGTAAAGCGTACAACTCTCTTGTAAATGGTGGTAAATAATAGCCGCCCATCGTCTTTTATAAATAGTATTTATTTTTTGTTTTACCGTTAAAAATTTGGTGGGAGGAATTGTGCGGGTTGTAGGTTTAGGGGGTTGTGGGTACTTTGGGGGTTCTTTTTAGGGGGGTTGTGGGTGCGTTTTAGGGGGTTGGGTAGGTAGAGGGTGAGTGTTTTCACTTTTAATTGTGGGAAATATCATATATCATATATTTTTTAGTCGGATAGGTATAGGAGGAAAATTTGGTCTAGAAAACGCCATTTACAATACTACTGTATCCGTGGCACGACTGGTTCCGCTACAAACATACATGTGTATGAACATGGAGCTACACGACTGTGTGTGTACCGCGTAGTGGGATCGATCTGTGTGCCAGGTATACTGTACCGCATTATCTCCTTTTCGTCGAGTGTTTGTGCTCCTCTCTTCATGATTTACAATAATGCTGAAATTGTGCGTAATTTGGTGGATGTACTGGAAACTCCGCGAAAGAGCCGGGATTGAAATTCTTCGAGTTTGCGACGAATGAGACCGTTCTTCAAGCTCGTGCTGTCGTTCGCGGCTACGCGTGCTATGCATAACTAACGCGCGCACACTGTGGTATTTCCTCTCCATCTGTCGATGGCTTTGCTAAGCTCCTCCTGTGTGGGGTCCTCGTCCCATCTTCCATTACCGACTTGTTTTGCGAAGTTGGTCAAAGTAATTCTCGCTCCATCTTTCAATCAGACTGCCACTTTCCGTAATGACTTCGCTGGACTTGGAATTAGGGAAACGGTTTCCTCGGTGGTGGGACATGTTGCTTGCTTGACTCCGTCGTACATGACCCTGCTGTCTGCAGTGTCAGCGGCAACCCGTTTGCCGGAGGAGAGTTCCAGCCAGTATATGGTTGGAGCTGTTTTTATTTACTTCACCGCTGTATTCAACCGTCTGGCATATCGTGGCTTACACCTCAGGCCAAAATTCTCCGGTTTCTGGTCAGGGGCTGGCTCCAAAAGTGGTGCGGCGACGCTGTTTTTTCCCTCACTTGCTTTCCCTAGAAATGATGTACGTATAACACGCGATGCCCTTCGCGCATTGCGTACTGCCGCTACCAACACTGAAAAAGACTGGCCCTTTTATTTTGTTTATCTTTATTTTGCGTGTGTTTTTAATTTGGTCATTTGAGTTACTTTTTCACAATGGGGACGCACAGACGTTCCTGAGAAAGCTCTGTTATTGGTTTATTTTGCTTTTATGGTTTCGTTTATTTTGTACACATCTGTGCCGATTAAAATAACGATATGTTGTGGCATAAATACACCCACACAAAACAGGATGCAAATAAAACATAAACTTCCCGAATAGGAATTTTACATGTATGGATTGAACAAAGTCTCTTACGTTTAGTATACTTGCACTGTTGGTAGATGAAAAGACTCATTGATACATTCAGGGAGAACCAATTGGCATGTGCTTAAAATATAAAAAATTAATGATCAGAATTGAGGTATTCATCAATGGATTCTCTTAATGAAGTGATCCCTATCTCAGAAACATTATGCCACAAGTATCTTTTTCTTGACCTTTCAACTTTTAAAACTTTCTGTAATTTGTTTGGTAGGTTCTACTTGTGATGGTGAACTATTCATGTAAGTACCAAAATTGCTAAAGTGCTATTATGAATGTTTATAATTTATTTTCATGTTCTTGACATGTTTAGCCAAGAATTTAGTACTTTTTCCTACTGCACCAGCTTGACTCTTCAGACATTTAGGTTCCTTGATTTACTGAGGTGTGCCATATTTTAATTCAAGCCACATACTGGATAATTTGGAGAAGTTCACCTCAAACCAACCTTGGACACGATATTGAGGCTCCACCCCAAGTAAGTGTAAATCTATTACCTCACACCTATAGGCATTTTGTTTGTTCCCTCCTGCGTAGCTTTGCTCGTGTTTGTTTTAATTTAAACCTAATTACCAGGCCACCAAATCAACAAGGTTTAACTGCAAAGTGTTTTTTGTGGGGGGGGTAAGACTTAATTTGTTGACTTGATCAGCAAGCTGGTCTTTATATAATGAGCCTTTTCCTGGTCAGTGGATTCAGCTGATCTGGCACGAAAAAGCAGGCTTATGCTAATGCACTTTCAAAAGAAGTGTATGCCCCCATTAATTAAGTCCCGCCCAAGTAAGGTTATTTTGACCAGTTGCATCTTATAGGTATGCATACTCCTGTATGATTACCCTTTACATGTTGTGAACATGCAGTGCGGCACTGCTAGAGGTGCGTGCATCATATTGCTAAATGTGCAATTGGATGGGTGCAATGATGCTGCCTTTTTTCTCATGGGATGGGTATTAAGTTATAGACCCTCAGTGGAGGAGAAAAGATCTACGGTATTAGTGCCGCAGTCATTGACACCCTCTGATATAGACTCCCCCAGAGTCGGTTCAATCCATGTTGTACTATCCAGTGGGGTTGTTAGTTTTCACAGAATGAATATTTGCACTACCTGACTGGGACTGGCTGAAAGACAATAAAATCACTTGGTTAAATACAAAATTTAATTTTGCTTTCCTTGTCAAACTCTATGCGCTATTAATGCACTATTAGACTGACACTAGAGCAATATGTGCAGCTCTTAAAATGCTAGGCGAGCTGAAGTGCACTTACGTGTGTTTGTGTGAACTGACCTGAGAATCTCAACACGTTTATAACTAATGTAAGCCTTGATTGGGACACATGAGCCTAACTTCATTATATGTCACTTCATTGAAAAAAAAAATTTCTTTTTTGTATTCTTCCCTATCAGTCTGGTGACTGTTCCGGCCAGCTTACAAAGGTGGAGTGTCGTGCGCTGTACACGAGGCAAACTTTAGATGAATTTGACAGTAAATTTTTCCCGTTTGCTGACAAGAAATGTACCCTTACTGGAGGTCTGTACTGTGTTGCTGCCTCTTCGATCCCCTGCCCAGCTGATTTTGAGATCAGATATTTTTGCAGCGACCAGTCAGGTATGCTTTCGAAAATGTGCAGCCGCTAAACACTGAAGATAGATTCACTCTCCTGGCTAAGACAGTACATAGGCCTAGCCTTCACTCACTTGCTGTGATGACTACGCCATTTGCCCTATTCTTCATGAATCATAACAAACAATAGTTGAATTGGATTTTTCTCAAATTGTAAACCCAAGTTGAAACCTATCCAGGTTAGATATTCCTTAGGGAAAAATGACTTGCGTCAAGTCGAAAAATGACTTACGCTGCAAGGAATTATAGTATAACTGACATTGACTCGGCATATTTTCTTCACGAGTTTTATGCAGATGTCTTGCAGTAAGTTTCGATGTCAGTTTGATTGTATCAACAGTTTATAATTTCCCAAGATATGCATGCAGGACAACCAGACAAAAGTATTGGCTTTTGATGACATGCTCAATAATGCTCAGACCAACACACACAAGCTTCATTACCTTCCATACCTAGTGTGGACATTCCTTAGTTTCTGTGTAGTTACGAGAACTTCATGAAAATACTCATATTTCTTGAAATGTGAACATGATTTTGAGCTGCTTTTTTGTAGAATGTTACCTTAACTGTTCCTGTTCCTTTTGCAACAAATAACCTCAACCCCAAAATGCCTCTAAAACCTCATTTTCAGGGAGGGGAAACGTCCTGTGGACGTTGGTAAAGTAAGTCCACAGAGCGCCTTCCTTTTCATAGAGTGTGGACATCTTTTGTTCATGAGCCCACACTAGGTAATGCAAGGATGGCGCACTTCAGATTATCATCAGTTGGCAAATTTTTGCAAATTGTGGGATTTTACAGGGTTCAAGCATGTTCCTGGCAAAATTCTAAAGGGACATGCGCATGAGATTTAATGACAGAAATCCTGACATCTGAAATTCTAGGACTTTCAGCAGATGGCCTTAGAAAACCCCGTAACAAATAAACATGAGGTTTCCTACATGTAGGTTACATCTAAGGATGCAAGATGTACTGTACACAGTGAAATATGGAAGGGCTGCGTAGCACCGTGATCAGAATATCGACAAGAATATAAGATTAAATCAGTGCTCTGAAATATATGATTGCCGAGCTTTCGGTAACTGAGTACCTTCTTCAAGGCAAGCAGATTAAGTTCTGAATGAGTGCGGAAAAATTCACGAACATTCCCCATGGATGCAGTGTTCCAAGTTCGAAAATGATGCACTGCTCCAGTTCCTTACGCTGTACATCAGATGACACTTTCCGCAGGATGCAGACACGATGTATGTGTGATGACGTTGAGAATTTCTTAACATTTGCGGATGCTTTTCACCGAGCACTGCGCTACACATCTGATGTGTCACAACATTCTATTACCTTCCTCGACGTGCGTGTCCAGATCTGTGCACGGAAACTTGGCACAACCGTGCATTACAAACCCACAGATTCCCACAGCTACCTGCAGTATCAATCGTCTCACCCCCTCAAGTGCAAGAACTCCATCCCTTACTCTCAGTTTCTTCGACTGCGTAGGATTTGTAGTAGCAATGCGGAGCTCTCTGCGCGTGGGAAGGCAATGCTAGGTTTCTTTCATCCGCGCGGTTACCCTCTGGCTATCACAGACGCTGCCTTCAACGCTGTATCTTCAATCCCGCGCGAAACGGCTCTGAAACCCACCGGGGCCTAGCAACGTAATCGCGCCCCCCTCGTACTCACATACCACCCTCCCAGTACGTAATGTTCTTCTCAAACATTTTCATACACTCGGTAATGAGGCGGCCACAGCTTCCATTTTGCGCGTTCAGGTGCGATCGTTCCGTCGGGGACATGGTTGTGTTCCCGGTTGGATTCCGTCTCCCCGTCAAAAGCAGGCAGCAATTCCCCTTGTCAGCGCCCCAGATGTAACACCTGCCCCTACATAGTTAACAGCCTGTCGGTCGTCGGCCCCCGCGGTAGCTACAGAATACGCGGGGATCATACATGCATTACAAGTATCGTCGCTGTGGTAATCTGTACATCAGAGAGACCAAACGTCGCCTTGGTGACCGCTTCACGGAACACTTGCGCAGTGTGCGCCAACTAACGCCTGGTCTCACTGTCGCGCTGCACTTTTGCGCGCCGCCACATTCCCTTGGTTACATAAGCGTCTGCATTCTGCGGAAAGCGTCATCCGATGTACAGCGTAAAGGAACTGGAGCAGCGCGTCATTTTTGAACTCGGAACGCTGCATCCAGGGGGAATGAATGTGGATTTTTCCCGCGTTCATTCAGAACTGACTCTGAAGAAGGTACTCAGTTACCAAAAGCTCGGCAATCATATATTTCAGAGCACTGATTCAATCTTATATTCTTGTCAATGTACTGTACACAGTGATGTGTTGACAATTGCCTGCCTTTGTGCATGGGCGGAAATCTCTCCTCGATGGTGGGGGGGGGCATCAATTCACACTTTTTTTGCGCACGCCGTGTTTATTATCTTATTCCATTTATAAAACTCAAAGGACAAAATCCTCGATCCATCAGTTCCTTTAGTATTTTGTTTTGCTTAAAACATGGAGGGGACATTTGACATTGTGTCCCCCATACCAAATTCATGGGGGAGGGGTCCCCGTCCCCCATCATGCCTATGCGCTTATCTACTTAATGAACAGTCCCTCAAGGAATTACTAATTTTGAAACATTTAATACTCATAGGGCCTAACCCGTATTTTTTCTCTCTGCAATGGATCCAAACCTTCAGCGGTCATTGGCCAATGGTCTCCGTTGGCGAGCCCCTGGGG